GCATAAGCTTTCGTGGACTACAGCCCACTTATGCTCTAATAAATCTGTTAGTCTCTAAGGTGCCACAAGTACTCCTGTTCTTTTTACTTTGTTTTAGATGTTTTGGGACTGTTTCTGAAATATCATGAACTGGTTTTTTTCCATTTGACCTGTGGGGCCCATGTATTACAGTAGGTTTATGCGAGGTATAAGTTTAAGAGATCATCTTATATGACCAGGGTTACAAAAGCGCTCCATGGCTCTATATATGTAAGTAGTTACGGTGCCTGTAGATGGTGCTCAAGAATATGCAGCATTTGTTCCTGGAGCTTGTAGGACCAATAAGACTTCTTGCTATGCATTGCAAATGGCTTCTTGTGGGCAGCTCTTTACAGCAGCTTTTCACACGGTGTCAGAAGTAAAATATTTTCACTACTTTAATTCTTTGTTGGGGACTGATCTGAGGCAATGAGGTCCAGATCCTCAAAAGTATTTAAGTTTCTAAATTAGAAGCCTTAAATACTCATTACTTTTAAATGTTTGGGGTTAGCAATGTTGTATATGAGAGGTATATTTTATAGATTCCAAGGCCAGATGGGACCATTGTTTCATCTAGTTTGGCCTCCTGTAAAACACAGGCCAGAGAACTGCCCCTAAATAATTCCTAGAACACATATTTTAGAAAATTATCCAATCTGGATTTAAAAATTGTCTGCGATTAAGGCTACGATTTTCTCAAGTTGGTCACAGAAGTCACGGAATCTTTGTGACTTCCAGAGACCTCTGTGACTTCAGCCTGTGGTGGCCAGGAGCTGCAGGATTCCCCCGCTGCCTGTGGTAACTGCTGGTAACTGTGGGGTACCCCTGCTGTCCCCGAGCTCCAAGCCACCATGGGCGGTGGGGTACCCTGGAGCTCCTGGTGCCAGGGATGCCCCAGAGCTCTGGGCTCCTGGGGCCAGTGGGGGTGCCATGAGGTTCCCGGCCGCTGCGAGTGGCGGGGGTACCCTGGAGCTTCCAGCTGCTGTGGGCAGCAGGGGCCCCCTGCAGTTCCTGGCTGCTGCAGGTAGCTGCACTTCCTGGCTGCTCTGAGCTGTGGGCGGCAGGGGACCCCAAAATCCACCAGCCACCAGGAGTGGGGGGACCCCGCAGCTCTGAGCTGGGACCCCCTGGGGGCGGTGTGGGGACCCCGCAATTGCCCATTTTGTCATTCATATTTTTAGTAAAAGTCAGGGCTTCCATGAATTTTTCTTCATTGCCCATGACCTGTTCATGACTTTTACTAAAAATACCCAAAGCTCTTAGCTTTATCTGTAATGGAGAATCCACCAGGAGCCTTGGTAAATTGTTCCAGTGATTGGTTACTCTCACTGTTAAAAATATATACCTTATTTCCAGCATGAATTTGTCAAGCTTCAACTTATTATCTTCCTTTAACTGTTGGATCATATTATACTTTTCTTTGCTAAGTATAGAGCATATGAAGAGGCCATTATTAAATATTTCTTCCCCCATGTATGTACTTATAGACTATGATCAAGTAACCCCTTATTCTTCTCTTTGTTACTATAAATACATTGAGCTCTTTCAGTGCATAAGACAATTTTTTTTAATCCTTTAATTATTCTTGTGACTCTTCTCTGAACCCTCTCCAATTTATCAACATCCTTCTTGAACTATGAACACCAGAACTGGACACAGTATTCCAGCATCAGTTGCACCAGTGCCAAAAACAGAGGTAAAATAGCCTCTATATTCCTACTCAAGATTCACCTGTTTATGCATCCCAGGATTGCAATAACCTTTTGGCCACAGTGTCACACTGGGAGCTCATGTTCATCTGATTTTCCACCACAACCTTCAAATCTTGTTCAGAATCACTGCTTTCCATAAGTACGACCTACATTCTTTGTTCCTAGATGGATACTGTGACTGGGGTTCTAGATGTGGTCACTCAATTAGGGCGGACTGCAAAGAATCATAGAATATCAGGGTTGGAAGGGACCTCAGGAGGTCATCTAGTCCAACCCACTTCTCAAAGCAGGACTAATCCCCAGACAGATTTTTGCCCCAGATCCCTAAATGGCCCCCTCAAGGATTGAACTCGCAACTCTGGGTTAAGCAGGCCAATGTGCAAACCACTGAGCTATCCCTCTCCCCCAAAAGCTGGTGGATATTCCAATACTTAGATTTACCA